CATAGAAATAGCAAACTTAACCTCCCATTGATCCGACCAAGGCTTCACCTCCCTAGAGAAAACCGTTTTAAAACCACTAAAAAAAATGAAAGAAATACTCCAGTGATTTAGATTGGCACTTTCATAAAGTTGGGCAACTCACAAGAAGTGCATTTCAATAAATGAATTATCAAAGGCAGTGCAGGAAGAAATATTCTGACTTGTATTCCCAAGTATGGTTTCAGCTCCTCATTTTTTTTTTATCTTTGATGATATCACATGACCTTCATCGGCAGATGAAGCTGCCCAGTTGTTACAGAATTTGATTTGACAAATTTGATTTCTTTGTGATCAATGTATTCACTAGTTTTCAAAAACTCCTTTAAGACCGACCCTGCTGTACAGGTACCAGTGAAGGGAAGCAGGAAAACTTTGCTGATATTGAACCAGCTGTGTGTCATCGCATTGTGCACAGATGAACGGTGTTTGACTTCCCCTGGAGATTCCTGCCCGTCCGGCGGCCGAGGTCCAGGTGCTGGCAGCAGCACGGGGACGAAGCCAAACACTGTTCATCTGCACACACTGTGATGCCACACAGCTGGTTCAATATCAGCAAAGTTTTCCTTTATATTCATTGTGTTCTGTGGTGATCAGACAGCTTGTCGGACCATCACAAAGGGGTAGGGCTTAGCAGGTTCGCAGGCTCCAAAGCTGCTTAACAGACCTTGAGATGAGATGAGGAAATATTCAATAATAATATTTAGAAATATGTACAGTGTGTAAGCTTACACTGTGAACAAAATCTGTGATTATCCACTAGAAAGAAGCTATGTCAAAATCTTTGTTTGCCCTCGTAGATGTGGGTCATTTTTTAACATGATGAAAAGACATATGTAACACGAGGCATAATATCAGTGTTCTGTACACACGAGTCAATGTACAGCAAGTAAACGCCAGCCTGAAGCAACACAGCCTACATACAAACATGGCAGCTGCGTGCATTTACCACTTAAAGTGTAAAAGCCTTTCCTTGTACTTGGTCCAAAAGAGCTTTTACTCACCCGCTCATTCTCTTGTTACTCTCTCCCTCTCTCTGTCCCCCACTCTTTCTCTGCCTCTCTCCGATGCCGAGCATAAATATGAAATTGATTGATTATTGTTTAAGGGTCTGACAGAAGTGCAGCCTCTCTCAGACTCTTCCTCTTTGCACGTGTTTAACCCCCCACATGTGCTCTGGCTGCTCAGATGTGCTGTCGATATATTCCATATAAACGGACAGAAATGCGCCCATCGATTCTGACTGCCTTGAAAGTGTTTAACATTATCTTTATTATGACTGTGTTGGATGAAAGGGAATTCGCTGATAACTTTCTCCAGACTTTCTGGAGGCGTTCCCAACAATAAAGACGGGATTGACCTTTTCTTTATAAACAATCTTTTATACTTTGCTGTCAAAAGAGTGAAATGTTTGAATTCCTCATCCTAAAAGCTTTTGACTACATTTACATGCACAAAATATTACAGATTCTGTGCTTATTCCAACAAAGACAATATTCCTACTAAGCTGTTTACATGGCTGATGAAAACGATTATTCCTTTAATGTTCTGTTGTGCCACCATGCATACTCCAATAAACATATAAAAGGCTGGAGCCTCTTGTGCCATGTCTTTGCATCAAAATATAATTTTTCAAAGTTTTCCATCAAGGGCGGACTTGTTTGATCATGCAAACACAGCCTTCCTTTTTGATTCCTTCAACCAGCTTCGTGAAAAGGTCCGCATTTGACTAACACATATCAAAAAGTTGTTGATATCCAAGTCTTTCATAATGCTTTTAAGCAGGTGTGTTTCTTCTTCCAACCAGAAATGTGGGCTTTTCTTTTGGACATGCATCTCTCTTACAACTCACAGCCTGACCATAAACAGGCAAGATGCCGTGTGTCGCAAACTGCAGTAAAAATCCCAACTGAGACGCATACTCTGAATATGCTGTATACACGTCCCAAGAATGCTCTTAAAGTACTATTCGGATGGGATTAGTTTTACATAGGGATGTGGACTAATGTCAGTTTACCACAGGATGTCCGTAATATAAATGTCCAATTCGCACGGGACAAGAAATCTCCGTAATTCTACCAGAGATGGGAGTGGTAACTCGGTCTGCGCCCTAGTGTCACCTCCCTGTCAGCATGTGCTTGCTACGTTGCTTCCTGTATGTGTTACGTTTATTAGCCCAATATGACATATTGCCCATGATCAGGATTGTGTATACAATTAGCAATACAGATTTATATTAAGCCTACCGAACACAACCAGAAGTCTCGTGGCTCTGAAAAGTGCTTTCTTCTCGACCTTTTTGATTGGTCTCCCACCTAGGTCTATGCGATCATTAGAAGAACGTCCACTATCACGACTGCCGACAACACCGAATGCTTCCTCAAGCGCCTCCATCATCGAAAAAACGCGGAAAACTAGCTGTAAATGCGGAAAAATGGTTGTAAACAGGACGTGACAAATATTTACATACATTTTTACAGAGGATACTTTTTTACAGAGGATCGTGTTCGCACCAGATTAATATTACCCAAGGTATTTTCTCCGGACCGTTTTACAGAAGGTAAAAGTCGACGTAATTTCTACTGACATTATCCGTAATGATTACAGACATGGCACCTTCGGACAGGATTAAAATCCCTGGTAATAATTACTTTACCCCATGTCTCCACGTTAAACTGATCCCGTCCGAATACGGCTTAAGACCAGAATAATACCGGCATATCCCAAGTTTTCATCATAAAATGCTTCATTCGTAATAAGGCCTGAAGCCCAGGTCAGACCAAAGATTCACGACGAGATGAAACCCTTTTAGAATGTAACGTTGCATAAAAAAGTTGCAGCGGTGTGAACTGGCAGGTCTGAGCTCAACTCAAACTGGCTGATGGTGTCACCTGCAACTCAGTTGGTCAAATCGCCCAGCATCGCCATTGTAGTGAAGAGAAGGTAGACATCTCTACGGATGATATCTCCAAAACTTGGCATCTCGCGTTAAAACAATCTAGAGTGATTAACAGCACTGCAGGTAAGAGACAAAATATACAGTCAGGTCCATAATTATTTGGACAATGATACACTTGTCATCATTTTGGCTCTGTACACCACCACAATGGGTTTTAAATGAAACAATGAATACCTGCTTAAAGTGCAGACTCTCAGCTTTCATTTGAGGTTTTTTCAAAAATGTAGTATGAACCGTGTAGGAATTACAACCATTTCTTCACACAGTCCCCCAACTTTAAGGGCTCATAAGTATTTGGACAAACTAACATAATCATCAATTTAACAGTCAGTTTTAATACTTGGTTGCAAGTCCTTTACAGTCAATGACTGCCTGAAGTGTTGGACACATAGACATCATCAGATGCTGGGTTTCTTCCCTGGTGATGCTCTGCCAGCCCTTTACTGCAGCCGTCTGCGCTTCCTGCTTGTGTTTTGCCCTCAGTTTTAGCTTCAGCAAGAGAAACGCATGCTCAATTGGATTCAGGTCAGATAATATGAGATGGCCATTGCAGAACATTCCACTTCTTTGCCTTAAAAATGTCTTTGGTTGCTTTTGCAGTATGCTTCAGGTCATTGTCCATCTGCACTGTGAAGCATCGTCCAATGAGTTTTGAAGCATTTAGTTGAATCTGAGCAGATAATGGTGCCCCAAACACTTCAGCTTTCATCCTGCTGCTCTTGTAAGCAAGACAAGACTTCACTAGAATAAATACAGAGGGTTTATCACAAGATGCAAACCATTGGTTAGACTTAAAAATGGAAGGCCAGATTAGAGTTTGTCAAAAACCATCTAAAAAGCCTGTACAGTTGTGGAACAGCATACTATGGACAGATAAAACAAAGATCAACTACCAGAATGATGGGAAGACAAGAGAAGGAAGAAGGGAAGGAACTACTCATGATCCAACGCACACCACCTCATCAGTGAAGCATGGTGGAGGTACTGTTATGTCATGGCCATGTATGGCTGCCAGTGGAACTGGTTCTCTTGCATTTATTGATGATGTGACTGCTGACAAGAGCAGCAGGATGAAAGCTGAAGTGTTTGGGGCACCATTATCTGCTCAGATTCAACCAAATGCTTCAAAACTCATTAGACAATGCTTCACAGTGCAGATGGACATTGACCTGAAGCATACTCCAAAAGCCACCAAAGACATTTTTAAGGCAAAGAAGTGGAATGTTCTGCAATGGCCAAGTCATATCATCTGACCTGAATCCAACTGAGCATGCGTTTCTCTTGCTGAAGCAAAAACTGAGGGCAAAACACCCAAAACACGAGCAGGAAGCGCAGACGGCTGCAGTAAAGGGCTGGCAGAGCATCACCAGGGAAGAAACCCAGCATCTGATGATGCCTATGTGTCCAACACTTCAGGCAGTCATTGACTGTAAAGGATTTGCAACCAAGTATTAAAACTGACTGTTTAATTGATGATTATGTTAGTTTGTCCAAATACTTATGAGCCCTTAAAGTTGGGGGACTGTGTGAAGAAATGGTTGTCATTCCTACACGGTTCATACTACATTTTCGAAAAAAGCCTTAAATGAAAGCTGAGAGTCTGCACTTTAAGCAGGTATTCATTGTTTCATTTAAAACCCATTGTGGTGGTGTACAGAGCCAAAATGATGACAAGTGTATCATTGTCCAAATAATTATGGACCTGACTGTATAGTTTTGATTTTGGGGTGAACTGTCCCTTTAATACTTTTGTACAAACATAGAGCTGTAAGGCACAAAGCATTAACTTATATCAGGCTTTCTTTTCATGGGATTTGTTGCCTTATCCTTTTATCTTAGTGTGTAGATTTCATGAGGCAATGCACTGCACTTGCCAGGGTTCCTACAGGTTTCTTCAAGTCAAATTCAAGTCTTTTCAAGACCTTTTTAAGACCATTTATATCAAAAATTAATACCTATTTCTCGGCCTATTTCACAGCCCTACCGGCAAAGAAAAATGAAATCCTTGAATTTCAGAGTATTCGTTTATTCAACAAAATAGCAGTCAACAGTACTCCTGTACAGGTTAAATAAAAATAGAAAATAAATTAAAAAATCTGTGGTTGTGTAAAGATGAGGGGGTGTCACCCCATTGCAGCATAGAACAGGGGAGACTCTTCCCCAACCAGCTATTAACAAAATAAACAATGAACACCAGAAACAAAGTCAACTCCTAAGCTCTGCACTCTTGGCAGCAATCTCTTTGTCAAGGACAGCCAGTTCTGCCAATTTCTCCTTATGGCCTCTCCTCAGGAGGTTGGACCTTGTGATTAGGTCAGCCATCTTGCTCCCTGCCTTCCCCTCAGCCTCCTCTGCCAGCCTGTCCGCATCCCTGGCCAGACCCTCAGATACCTCTTGTAGGCGTCTCCTTTTCCCCCTTAGCTCCTGAAGTTGGTCCTCTGCTCCCTTCCTCTTAAGAGCCTGGGCTTCTGCCCCCCTCTTCTTTCTCTCTGTGTCGAGATGGACCCGATATCTGGCCCTGGCTGCTGCTACACTTGCCAGTAGCTCTTTAGTGAGTGGAACCTGGATATAGGGTTGGGAAAAGAGAACCAGAATCAGTGACAGAATCAACATAGTTGGCCTCTTGAGTTTATCAACTCCTATGTCAACAGCATATTTCTAGTCCAGCCAGGGGTCATTCTTACCTGGGTAACACCTCCATGTTGCATGCTATAATCACACACCAGCCTCCGTGTGACCACAGTGTCCTCTTGTATGTTGTCGAACTCCACCTCTTTGTTGATAGAGAATCCTCTCTCAACCGTAGCTTGGCCGTGGGAGAGGATGAGTAGATTCTTGCAGAAGGCCCACAGTTCGGGATAGGGCTCCCTGAGGACACTGCTCAGGAAGAGGTCTAGCCTCTTCTGCATGGGAGGAAAGGAGAGGAAGTCCTCACTTCGGCTCTCCAAGGACAGGAGACTGTCAAACTGTTGGAGAATGACATCCCCTATAACAAAACAGATCAAAGAGAAAATAGAGAAAAACATTGATAAATCATTGGGCTATTGGGCATTCATTGGGCATTGCCAGCCAATCAAATTGATGATAAATTAATGTGTAGCCTACAATTTGCCTTTCTTATTCCTACGCGCAGACGTATCGGTTAGCTGTTTGTCCTGGAGAAACCTCTGAACCAGCCCTTTCATGTGCTTCCTGCATCTTTCTGGGTCTCTGTACATTACTGATGGATCCAGGTACACCATCTGCCTAACAGTCAAATAATTGAGGGGGCTCTTGTCCTGCACTTTCCTGATGATGCTACACAGTCCCTGCATGCACTCTCTCCTGAACTCTAGCACCCTGAGCTCTGCACCTTTGATGCTCTGGAGAGAGGGGGAAATTAGCCATGAATAGAACATGTCTACAATGACCTGGTTGCAGCCTAACCATATTTGTAAAATGATCTTTTTAAAACTTCACACTACCTTAAGGACTGACTCGGCACCTAGACCAACGCTGATGTCTTGTGGGCTGAGCCAGATGGTCTTGTCTGTGACATCCAGTTTGGTCAGCTGCAGGGCAGTGATGTCGTGGAGGACTTCTCTCTTGATGAAGCGTCTGAATAGACTCTGTCAACAGACAAATGTTATGATGCACAATGTATCCATTATTTTTTACACATACTTACCACAAACTCCATATTGTCAAAAACATATCAATTGAGCCTAATCAGTGGTGATTATAATGTGCAGTGCTGCAGATATAATATACAGTAAATTATTACCATCATCAACTCAGTCAGGTCCTTGGAGAGGAATGGCAGCACAGGCTCATCCGTTTGATATTTTTTCAGGAAGGGAGTAAAGGTCCTGGCTAGTGCCGTGTAGAACTGCAGTTTTGCCAATATGAGAGGATCCTTCATGGCTGCTTCAAAGGTGTCATAGGATGCTGAGAGAGAGAGAGAGAGAGAGAGAGAGAGAGAGAGAGTGAGAGACGGACAGAGACAGAGAGCGAGAGAAAGACAGAGAGAGAGACAGAGAGCGAGAGAAAGACAGAGAGAGAGAGAAAGACAGAGTGAGAGACAGAGAGAGACAGAGAGCGAGAGAAAGACAGAGTGAGAGACAGAGAGCGAGAGAAAGACAGAGAGAGAGACAGAGAGCGAGAGAAAGACAGACAGAGAGCGAGAGCAAGACAGAGAGCGAGAGCGAGAGAAAGACAGAGAGAGAGAGAGACAGAGAGCGAGAGAAAGACAGAGAGAGAGAGACAAAGACAGACAGAGAGAGGCAGGACATTTCAACTTAGCTGTACATTACAAAAACTATGACAAGGCCACACCACCACCAGGGTTAGGACACAGTCACAGACCTATTCACAGCAGAAGGGCCTACCGGTTCCAGGGTTCGGGAGTTTCTTCGTTTTCACAGTCTCCATGTACAGGAGCAGTGATAGCCAGACTACAAGGGCTCTCTCGACAACAGGTAGGTTTTCCACCCAACGATGGGCACAGAAGGACAGGGGGAACACACTGGACTTTGTTACTGTGATGTAATCCTCTCTCCTGGCAGGCACATTGTGGAACAATGTGTGCATTGCTCTGAGCAACTTGTCCAGCTGCCATGCAGTGAACCCACACTTGAACGCGTTGTGTAGCGTGTGCAGGCCACAGCTCCCCACACAAACAAGCTGAACACCTGAGGGTTTCATTGCAAAACTTGATATTAGAAACCAAATTAATACAACAGTGGATCACATAAACACACTCACTCACACACGTTTAGTAATAGCATTATAAACTCCTCACCTCCGTACTGTTTAGCTTGTTCTTTCTGGAAAAGATCGAACAGTTTCCAGTTCACACTGGGCCCATCCATTGAGAGGGACACCAAGCCCCTGAGGTCCAGTTTGTCCATGCATTCCTGAGAAAAAAAGGGTTGTGTTTTGATTACTCAAGATAAGAGGACTGGATGAGCACATATTGCTAAGGGAAGTACCTAACTGGTCATGTAACATTGCTAAATAAGTCTTATGGACAAAATTTGAGTCTATCAATATATAAACTGATAAACATTTATAGTAAAAATTGATTAGACTTACTTTGAGGTGGGACAGCAAGTCCTGTGCAGTGGAGTGTCCCATAAACTGGGAGCCCAAATATCTTGAATGAACCTGCCCCTCATCCCAGAAGCGGACGTGCACATCCAGCTGCTTGGTTTTCGTAATCTCATTGAGGCTCTCATCAAACATCAGAACAAACAGCGATTTGTTGACTTTGGACACCAGTTCATCTTTGATGTGAATGGCTAACCCAAACTTGGCTATGTAAGCCGTTTTGTCGGCACCACAAGTAAAGGTGCAGGCGATGTCGGAGTCGGGGAACATGCACTTGAAAAGCTCTGAAATACCCTCGTTTCCATTGTAGGACTGGTGTTTGGCAATGGTGTGAAGAGTCCACAACACCTCTGCTTTCAGCGTTGGCGTGAAACCGAAAGACATGCGTAGATCAACTCTAACGTTAACATTAGCTGTGGTTGTAGCAGGAGGGGCTGCAGGAGCACTAGCAGCTAGGTGGCTAGCTGGTGGGAACCCAGCGGTGATGGAAGGAGTTTGTTCCTTTCCTCGGACATACTTCATGTGCTTGGTCGATTTGGCATGAGAGTCTAACACCTTCAATCCCATTGTTCCGAGATGAATCCTCTTCTTGCACACGGTGCAGTAAGCCTCAAAAACGTTGTCTACCACAGGTTTTAACCAATGACGGAAAGAAATTTTATCCATCCACGCTTAGTTAAATTTACATTTCCCCATATTCCCCTGTGTTTGTGTTGTGGTGCTGTTAGCGCGAGGTTTTCTTCTTCTTCTTTATTTTTAACGGCGGTTGGCATCCAGCTTATTGGTGCATTACCGCCACCTTCTGTTCTGGAGTGTGAATCAGCATTTTCCCCGGGGCTGCGTTGCATTCTCAATTATTGGCTCTTTATTTACGTTATTTGATCAAAATAATTGTGGTTGACAAAGGAAACTTTTTACGAGAAATGAGATACAGATAAGTTACATACAGTACAATTTTTAAGACCCAGATATCAAAATTCAAGACTTTTTCAAGTCTTTTTAAGGTATTATTTCCAAATTCATAAATTCAATGCTTTTAAGACTTTTTAAGACCCTGCGGGAACCCTGACTTGCATGATTGTGTGTGTGTGTCTGTTAGTGTGTGTGTCACAGAGATATAGAGAGGAAGTTAGGGACACATGGTGGAGATATGGCTGGTAACATGGTCAAGTCTATAACACAGGATGCAACAGCGACTGTGTCTGTTCCCTGTGTGTGGAGACCTAACCAGCGTATTTATCTTTGACATGACGGGGGGGGGAGATTGATTCAAAAGCCAAGTGTCGCAATTAACCCCTCCCATGACCATCAATCACCATAATGCATAAAAACAGTAATCTAATTAAATACCCAGTGAGAAATGAGGCCATTATTATCTGTCAAATGTCCGCTATACTACCAAATGATGTGAGGTTGAAAATTGCCGTACGGCTCATAGGATATTAGATCGTCACTAAATTAATTGTGTGGATTGAAATAAGTATGAAGTATGAACAGAAATGGGTACAATCTGGTAAACTTGCAGTCAAGTTTGAATTGGCTACATCTATTAGAAATCTGGGGACAAAAGACAGAATGCAATCATTCCACATACAGCAGTATTAACAGAAATACATTCCCCAAACTGCTGTATAAGTAAAACACAAAGGGCTGGAAAAATATCAGCCATAGTTTGAAAAGCAGAGCACTTAACTCTAGTGTTATTTATCACCATGTAAGAACAGGCTGGAGGATATCTCACCATCAATAATACTCTTCATATCACATCTCATATTCATCTATTGTTTAGAACTGGCACATTTCAATGAGTGTTTTATTCTAGCTGTCAACTTTATAAAGTTAACAAGGACCTCTGGAGGAAGCTAATTGATGTGTGTGGTCAGTACATGTAGATTACTTGATTGGTTATTGTTTTATCAGGACTTACTGTGCTTCCCACCTAACTGTGTATTCATGATGGAAACACTTCATATAGCAAATGATTGGGCTGCAGTTTTCAAAGTTTTCCAGAAGATGAATAGAAATTGATTTAGGTGAGTAAAACATAGAGCTGCACCAGACTATGAAATTTCCTAGTCAACCAAAAGTCGTCATTTAGGGCCATTAGTCATCTAGTCGGCCGCATGTTTACAATATTAATATAATTATTAGATGATATATCTTGGGTGGGGCAACACAGTGGTTTGAGTTGAAGGTGTGAGAAAGAATAGTATCAGTAACATTGTTAACACTGTGCTACATTACAGAGAAATACAATACCATACTAATGAACCTTCATTAATATAGGCCTATATTTTATCTACAAGTGCACGTCACACACTGAGCGAGCCGCCTGTTAATGACGCTGTGGGCTAATGGGCATGTAGCTACTTCCATGTTTCAGATGATACGTCATGTTTGTAGTCAACCAATGAAAATGAGTTTACATATCACCTTGGGTTCGTCCTTCACCTTCTCAAAATGATCCCACACTTTGGATTTCCTGCCCGACATGTTATTAACTAGCCTGTGGAATAACCGCAGGTACCAGCCCTGGAAATTAACCTGACTCCTGTCTGACTGCTGAGCGTGGCCACTTCCTGTGTCTGTCCTTTCAAATTAAATTCCTACATGGTCCAGTCATATAGGTTTGGATTTATTTTGACAAGGCGCAGCTCCTGATAAGAGTTTCACGTTTTTCTTTAACTAAGAAACCAATGAAATCTTGCGGACTAATGACCTTTCTGGTCACCCAATGTTTGGCCAACTATTCGGGGGCAGCCCTGATAAAACAATTTATCTTTAAGCTCTCAATTTGGAATACATCACTGCAGGAAAATGAGATATATACGAAAACACAGCAAACGGAACGGATTTAGCAGGTATTTACATTTTACAGGATATACTGAGGAGGTGTGACATATCTGCTGTTGACTCTCCACTTTAACTACAAGTGTGCAACTCTGATCTGTTCACACTGGAGAAGTAGAAGACGAAGAAGAAGATAAATAAAAAGAAAAACTTTTTCAATCCCTGAGGGAAAATTTAATTTTGTCACTTATTTGTCACATACACATGGCCCCAAATACACACACATGCACAAAAAGGACCTACAGATGCATTAAATGTAGAGATGTCAGAGTGAGGGGGCTGCTCATGGACAGGAGCCCTGAACAGCTGGGGGTTTGGTGCCTTGCTCAAGGGGACCTGAGCAAACTGGAGCCTTTATAGCGACTAGGCCACGCTCCATATTTGGGTTCCCAACCCAACCCTCTATGGGCTGAGCTACAATCGCCCCGCCCATTCAGACTTGTAAATTTAAATTGAATGTATGTACAGTAAACTGCCAAATATGTAGGACAATTAAAGGAAGCTGTAACTAAACTTAAGTTTGTACAGATAATTTACATTGCAACCCACCTATATTTCATTTGGAAATTTGTTTGACATGGCTATGTTGTTATTTACATCTCCCAGTAAATGATTCCCATTGAGTTTTTCATCTTTTAACTGGTCTGCCTTGTTCCTCCACACTATTTGCTGAGCTAAGACCAAGGAAAAGGGGGTGTAAAAAGGAAGAGTACTTAAGCCAACAGATTATCCTGACGACAGCAGCAAAAAATGGCTATTCAGCTTATGGCCAGTAATTGTGGTCGGGACACTATGACCTTACTCATGTGCAGAGCAACTAAGAGGAATGGGGGTGGGGCACAGTATTTGTCCCATGGGTAGGAAACTGTCTCTGCTCATGTAAAGAACACATATATATGTGTGATGGACAGCGAGGCACCGTCAGTGTCAGCCTATACACTCACATAGTTCTGTTATGTGGTAAGGAAATATTGTTTCATCAACCAAAGATGCCAAACATTTAGTTACCCTGGCACTCCAAACCAGCCCTCATATTAAAGTGTTAAAGATTACCATGCCTATTTTTTCATGTAACAAATTTCTAATCAGGTGCAAAGGAGATTCATTCAGACATTAACTGTCTTCTGCTGCAGTAACTTCTCACTAGCAAACTTGGTGGCCAGACTTAAAGGGATACTTTGCCGATTTGCAACGAGCTTTGCATCAAAACAATGTGTCAATGTATCCTCAAAGAACAGTTCGTATGATATCGTATGAGATAGCGCCCCTCGAATGATGTTACATCCTTAATGTACAGTTATGTAATTATTATAAAGTTATGGAGGTTAGGTTTAGGAAAAGAAACATGGTGAGGACCTACCTTAAAATGACTCAAAGTCATTCAAATTCTATCCTCAGTACTTTCCTATTTCCCCTCTACTCACAACCTCCTTGGATTTTGAGGGATAGGGCTGAAAGTACAACACATTCTCACCCCGACCTTGTGACATATCGCCGCTTGGTCATGGACTTTCCACATCCACATATAATGTGCAAGTTAGCCTAGGTGCGTCCGTTGTTGCCCTTTCAGGACACTGTCAACTTCAGCCTGTTACATACACTGTGTCTTTTCAAAATACACTTCCATTTTCACAGGAAATTTACAGTTTGCATGCAGTCTCTGAAAAATAATGCACTATGTCGGTACAACACTGCGAATTGACGTTTTTTTCCTTCAACAAAAAACGCCCGTGGTTGGGTTTTAAAAGCAAGTTGACTTTACATAGACACCATATCTTTTCAATTTCTCCTGACATTGTGTTGTTTGGTTTGTTCACCGCTCCGCAACATGCGCATTAGTGTCAAGCGGGCGGAGGCGTTGACCCCCCCCCCCCCCCCCCCCCCCCCCCCCCCCCCCCCCCCCCCCCCCCCCCCCCCCCCCCCCCCCCCCCGCGCCCCCCCCCCCCCCCCCCCCCCCCCCCCCCTCCGCTCTCTCACACTGCATCATCATTTAAAGAAGACATTGTGAAGCAACCCATCTATCGCTGATGGCCGATCGGATCGCCCATTGGCACAATCTCGACCTCGGAATAAGAACGGGTTTGAAAGTACGAAAAGAAAAAAATTGCCACTACATGACTATGCGGCAATCTTGTTGAGGTCATGAAATGTAAACAAACTACAATGCGTGCCCCTAGTGACGTGAGAGATGGAGCCAATCAGAGTCTGGAGCACATCCCAGGACACAATTGCAGATGTCACTGACAACACAAATGAATTCACTTAGTCTGGTGGTTTAAATTTGTAAAACAACAGAAGCAACTGTGCCCAAAACTGGAGTTTAATCAATTCACAACTAGAAAGTTTGGATCACCAGAACCATGCCACAAGCCATAAACACACCAACTATAAAGCAACAGCCTATCATGTTAGAAGGAAAGGTTTAGATGAGTGAAGTTACTGTGGTTAGGTTTAGGAAAGGAAACATGGAAAGGACATACCTTAAAATGACTCATAGTTCAATCGGTTCAAAATAGGTGTCTCCAGGGCAAAGTCCTGTATTTTATGACCCATCCACCACCCCAACCTGCCTCCTCAAAAGACCGCTCAGGACTGCTTCCTTGTTCACTCCTGACACACCATTTAATAAGCAGCAGCCTACAATGTAAGGAGAGGCAAAAAAGGAATAAACTGCAATTCACAAGCTGAAGGAGCTGACAGGATCGCATTTCACTGGAGTTGTACCTTGTATGATTTCATGTGACAAATAAATGATTGATTGATTGCTGCAAGTACCCTTCTGCTGGTAAGGATACGTTGCTTTTAGAGTCTAGACAAACTGACAAGAGCTTTCATTTATGGGTCTGACCTAGATTCTCACAGTCTTTACTCTGACATCACTGAGGAGAGGTTACATGATTCTTTAGAGAAATACTGATAATGATAACGAAGAAGGTCTCACTTAAACTGCAGATGGTGTACTTTATTTCATAATGCAAAACCTCACAGCAGTAAATAGGTAATAATAATCAAATGCAGTCAAACAGAATTATTCATAAAATTGGACAATTCTATCCTTTATCCTTTCCTACTTCCCCTCTATTCACAACCTCCATGGATTTTGAAAAATAAGGCCTTAAGTGCACACATTCTCAGTCTGACCTTGTGACATATCGCCACTTGATCGTGGACTTTCCATGTCTACATATGACGTGCAAGGTAGCCTGGGTGTGTCCATCGTTAATGTTTTGGGTCGATGTGTCAACTTCAGCCTGTTACATGCATTGTCTTTTCAAAATACACTTCTGTTTTCACAGGAAACATTTCCCACTGATGCCGTCAGATGCTGTTACATACTGTTGGCACCCATGGCCACATATCATGCCTTCATAAAAGGACAGCTGTTTTTGTTGGTGTCTGACGCAGAAGTTACGAGCGTTGCGTATTCAATGACTCCGCAATGACTCCGGGTAGGAAAGTAAGAAATGAAAAAATTGCAGACAAACGCTGATCGCCCTTGTTTTTGTAGATACGATATTTCGATAGTCTTCAGGATACATTTTTTTGATCAGAGCAACACAGCGTCACAGCCTAAAAATTATGGGTGAAGGTCTTTCCACACCGAATCCATTTTTTTTGCCTCCCAAATTGTCCCACGTCTAAAAATAAATACCACCTCACACTGTGCCAATCACATTTGCACACTGAGTCAGAAACTTTTATCGGCCATAAAAGTTTTCAGAACAGGTTCGATTTTCTGTGTTTTTCCGAATCCGTCAAAAGCCTTTAGAGACGTTTGGCCGAAGAAAATGTGGCTAGATAGAGGAACAGGTCGCACAATATCCTTCCATAACTCAGACAGAGTACTTTCAACAGGTCAGAAAGTAATATTCAGGTGGATAATGATGACGAGGAGGAGGATGTGGACTGCACACAGACAGACAGGGAGCAAAAAGTGTGGACACAGTGAGGGAGGACAGTTCAGCCCCTTCGGCAAGGGCCTTAACTTTCTACATCTCGAAAAAATCTAGTGTTCTTCTACCTTTACAATCTCCATATGGACATCTTTGTAAGCACTAGAGATCAACCAGGACACACACATCATCTAAATACCGACTAAGTTCTATTACTTCAGGTGATAACCCCCAGACATCTCAGGTCATGAACTGATTTTTCCTGATTCATTTTTTATAATTAAGCTCTCTATGATTAAGCTCAAATAAAAGTATTTCCCATTCAGCCATCTGTGTCCACTTGACCTCCCCTGAGCTTTCCTTTCCTCCACTACCTTTCATTCCCTTACACATTCATTTCACACACTTTCATCAGCTCAAGGTTATCAGACAATACATTTGTTCTAAGTCATGTACTACAACTATATTTGAATATTTCTCATTATATACACTGAATCAGTGACATGATCACACTTATTTCTCACTTACTTTTAACATTCTAACTTTATTTTCTATGTTACCTCCACCTTCTCTTATTGCTGTTTCCGTGGTGTTGTTCCTCTTTTTCACCGGGGTCTTCTTTTGTTGATGGCACGTCAGGAGTTGGAAACATTTAGGTCCAATAACCAATGACCAGCTCTGGTTCTTCTTTCTCCTTTTCTGGGTTTTCTGTGGTGGAATTGCCCTGCTGCTTTCCTCTGGGCTGTCCCTGTCCTGTTTCTGTGACTTAACAGGGTTATTCTCCTGTTAGGGAGCCCACATGGGCCAATTCCATGTCCGTGTGTCCGCAACGGTTCACTTTGGTCCACGTGACGTAATGTCATCGTCCACCCATGTCCATAAGGCTCCAATGTAGACCCTTATGCAGACGTCTGTGTGCTGCCTATTTTTTGTGACCACGCAGACTGTACACATAGCCAGCAAGCCAACTGCTCCAATCCCTTGTTCCAAACTCTAGTCCAGTCTAAAACACTTCAGTCAAGCCAGCTGCTGCTAGCCTAACTAGCTTAACGATGACTGTCTTTGTCTGTCAACTGACCTTGCCATGCAGGTACTAGTGGTCCCTCCAGGGTCTACCTGGTATCGACAATAGTGACATCTCCCCCTCCTATACCTACTGACCCAAACCAATAACTTTCAAACCAAGTTTTTTCGTCTTACTCGTCAAAACTTGGTGCCTGCCTTACCCACAATACCATTGATACTTCTGTAAGGCATTTGGGTGTGTTATGTTAGTAGTGAGCCTGATTTCATGGCCAGAGAAGATTTCACCCAAAGTATCTGACGGAGTACCTGTCAGTCAATCGTTGCACATACCTCTTTAAAATGAGTGAAAGTACATTTGCTATTGAGATTTTTCTGATCACACTAAGTGAAATGCAAATTGTGTCCAACCCTGCCAGGCTTACTAATATTGTATTTGTTCCAGGGATGAAAAGCAACAAACTCAGAGACCTATGCTTTCATTTCCTATTATTAAACCCTGCTGGGAGTTCATCACACTGTTGAAAAACAGCTCATTGCAGATAGCATGTCTCCCCACCCCTCCCACTTTCCCACAACCATTAAATTCATCACTGACCTCCTAAGTGTCAACATTCACAAACCTTGCAACAATCAATTCTCCCACAACGGAGAGATCCATCCATCCACCCATCCATACAGAAGGATGTTGCTACAGTAGTGTTAGTGTGAGAGCGCTGCTGCGTGCATCCAGGCACCCAGGAGCCCTGACTTCTTGGCTCTGCTTGCACCTTGAGCTGCTGGCAGGACAGCAGACCTCTCACCCCGGGAGGGGGCAGATGAGATCTCCATCACCATATCCCATCCCCTCCTCTCATCATTATCAACACACACCCTTCACCCCAACCCCTCCTCCTTCCCCCTCTCGCTTGCCGAGGTGTCTGGTGACTCTGGCCCCTGTTATCTTGCCCCTCCCTTCATCGTGGAGGAGAGGAAGGGAGAGGGAGAAACAGAGAGGCTGCAGCCCACTACCACCATGTCCCCAGAGGCCCCTTGCCTGCCTGCCTGCCTGCCCCTCCTGCTGCTCAGTACAGCTGTGGCTCAGCACCAGACCCTGACCAGCTGGGATCTCAACCCTGCCAGAGAACCACAAGAAGAAGAGCCACTGTGTGTGAAAAGCTCCTCACCTCTCTTCTCTGGCTCTTCATTAGGTGAAGCACTCAGACACTGACTCCAACTACAGCTGCCAACCCTCTCCGCTGGTGCTGAGAAGATCCTCTGTGTGAGCATGGCTGTGGCACCCTGGGCATTGGCACTTCCCCTGCCCCTGGTGCTCGCCCTGCTCAGCCTGGCACCGGCGCCCGCCTTAGGAGGCTGCCCGTCCGCTTGCCGGTGCTCTTTCGCCATGCTGCAGTGCCTGGACCCCAATGGTATCGCCAGCATCCCGGCACTGGTGTCGCAAGAGAGCGAGAATGTGACGGAGATGTGAGTATGATGTGTCACCTGCTCTGCATGTGCCGCTAAATCAGCATGAGTTTATCAGATGGGCTTACATGCCTTCATGTTGGTGGTTTGCCAAGTTTGATTTTTTCTGTGTTCAGTTTATCACTCCAGGTTGGTGCTTAATTTGTTGAGAGTGTCTTAGTGGCAGCATTCTGGGTTTAATGGCACCATTGGCGACTAGTTTCATATCTGATCTGGAGTTTCAGATTAGGACCTTATTTGCTCATAATTCTGGGTTTTGTGCTATTGTTTGGGAGAGTCTGTTAATCTAGTCCAGGTATTCATAGAAATGACAATTACAATCATGTTTTTTTTTATCACTCTGATACATGAAGATGGGGCAGTTAAGCTGATTGTATCATTCAAGGTTGCGCAATAAAGTTACTTTCCATTGCTTTGACCAAGAACAACAAGTGCATTCTAATAGGTTTCTGATTTCTGATTTTTTTACGAGGTTGGAAGCGCAGATACGTCTTTGTTTATTCCTCATTAGTCTCATTAATTGGTCTCATTACTGAATCTGTTTTAATGTAATGAAAAGAGTTTGTTCTCAGCTCTTAGAGATAATGATGATGTCTAAGCAAAGTATTGGGAGAGTATCTGTCCCAAGTCCCTCAAGATCACAATGAGCAAAATGCAAATCGTCTGCAAGGCTTCATTTCTCATTATTTGACATAGTCAGGTTCTGCTCTGTTGAGAGCAGAGAGAGTTTGTTCTCTGCGATAGCCGAATCCAGACGCTGCTTGATGTAAAGTAAATTTACTGCTGTTTGAGATTCATTAGCATGGCAGTAATTCTGTCACTTTGGTCATTGGAAATCAATTATAGATTGCTACTGACAATAAATGGCACAGTGACGGGAACTGAAGTCTTATTATCCAGTGTGCCTCACAGCGTGGCCTCAGGGTCTTCAAAGGATCTCAGCACTATTGGCTCTTATAGTATAGTGTGGAGATCAAGATGTGAGCTCAAGATTTCTTTTATTATTAAAGCTCATTAAAATGCAATGCATGACAACACCAGTGATGTCCAGGAGGACGGAAGAAGTGTGCTTGTCAGGATACTTTTTCGTAGTGCGTTAAGTTAAATAAACTTTGACTTTAGTTTGACTTCTCATTCTTCTGTCTGCTGAGGTGCTTTTTTTGTCTCATAAATTGGACTTTAAAGATTTTTAATTGCCACATCCCAAACATTTAAAACTTAATTTACAGTAGATATTGTTTGAAGCCTCGGAACACCTGACTTCAGATCTTACCTTGAATGCAAAACATAAAACATTAATAACTAAGTAAGCCTTTATAGACATGTAAAGATCCAGTGTGTAGAATTAAGGGGATAAATTGGCAGACATTAGATATAAGAGGGTTTTCTGAAGTGGATAATCATCTGAAAATAAGAATCATTGTGTTTTCATGACTTAGGGAACAGGTCTTTGTCCACAGAGTACACCATGTTGCACCGCCATGTTTCCTACAGCAGCCCCTAACAGGCAAACCAAACACTGGCTCTAGATAGGGCTATTCGTGTTTTTACCCTAGTGAGCAGCCTCAGAAAAACACAGATTTTTTAGCGGATAACCGCTTTATTAAACATTTTCCCAGTCACTGTGTTTGTTTGTTTTGAGGAGGAGGAGACCTGTGCAGATAATTCAGCTCCCAGTAAAAACCTCTTGAACATACTGAAACACTGAAGGAATCCTAACTGGGAGTTCACGCTTAGCACATGGGAGAAGTTTCAGCTGGTTGCATTCTGCAATCCTCACCGCTAGATGCCGCTAAATCCCACAAAATCCCCCTTTTTAAAAGAATCTTTAGGTGTCTTTATTAAGAGGCTACACTCTAAAGCTCCACTTTGTCAGGACTGTATGGGTTGATATTTGAAATGTTGGGAAAAAATATGGAGATACAAAGTTATTATCAAAGCATAGCTGCCTAAACTCTGTGACTTCAAACTTTACTAAACAACAAAATGCATGTGTACTATGTTCTGAGGGTTAACAAATCAATACTCTGTGCACAGATTATATGCTTTCATTAATGGTAGAGACCTGCATGCTGTAGTTGAGATACACATGGCTGGAGAAAGTATATTAAATTTTGAGGCTCAAATGAAAATTCCACTTCTGATGAAAGTTTGCTGACCTGAGTTTACTGAGGTTGTTCTGACCTAATTCCTGCTTCTTGTGGTTCAACTGATGCTCAATAGATGAGATGGAAAAGATGGCTGGTTGATGCTCACTTGATGCCGTAGTTTGACGTAGGGCTGGGCAATTTGTCGATATTATATTGATATCGTGATGAGATTGATATCGAATTGGATTTTGGATATTGTAATATCATAATTGTTGTCTTTTCCTTGTTTTAAAGGCTGTACTACAGTTAATAGTTAAGAGTAAGAGTCATTATATCCACGTTAATGTTTACTATTTATCAAAAATCTCACTGTATGAATATTTTCCAAAAGCACCAATAGTCAACTGTACAATATCGCTGCAATATCAATATTGTGATATTTGATTTTCTGCATATCAGCCAGCACTAGTTTGATAAGTACCTTGCAGCCATGCATGTCACACTTCTGATTGTCACATATTTATGGACATGCAGTCTCTGGAGGCAATGTGTTTGAATAAAACTCATCCAAGTTATTGCTCTGATGAAGTGAGACAGCTGCAGCAGCAGATGACTGTTATTTAACATTGGCTTTTTAAAACTTTGTATGAAAAAGGAAGTAGAAACTGACCACCTGTGATTTAAAGACAGCTGCTGTATTATTATGCAACCCACCATCAGCTCCAGCATGGAAAACTAAATGTCACTCTCTGCACCACCACGCTGTTCTCTCTTTGTTCCTGTCCCCAGATCTGAGCAATTAGCATTTGTTAAGAAGGAACTACATTTGTGAAATGCTATTTCAGTGGAATAAGTCAATTTACTGCCGCTTTTTGCCTCTATTCACCTATACCCCACTCCCCTCCTCTTTCCCTCCCACACTCTCTGTTCCCTCTCTTTCTCCCTCTTCTCCCTCTCTTATTTCAGAGGTATTTCCTTGTACCTGCAGCTAAACATGTTTCGTAGAGCTCAGGGTGAGGCTTGACATTCTCTCTGAACTGTTCAATCGATAAGTGAGCGCGCCTTTCTCTGGCTTCTGTTTACCGCGGTGCTCTACATGCCAGCAAACAACAACACTTCACCGTACTGGCAGTGCAAGGGAATACAGCCGATACGCAGAACAAACAAGAGGCCATTAACTGTGGAACAGGGGCCAAAATTCATCATACGCCGAGTTATAAATTCAATTTTGTGAATTGCCAGTCAATGCCTCCACCCGGGAACAATAGATGATATACAGCCCACTTGGCTCAATCCAATAAGTAAGGGCGATGGGTGATCCTGGGCCCACCTGCCCTGTAATCACATTATTGTCGTGTGGGTCAATCAGACATGAATAAAAAGGTTTGTGTGTTGCCGCTGACAAACACAGACCGGGGAGGTTGAAGCAGTGTCACATGCTGAAAGTGGCTGTCATCAACTGGAAATTACTGAAGGTATTTTTTGGCAAAATCACAACACAATATAATACCATGGAAAAAATATCTATATCAGTTAATTGGTATATACTGTATGACACACAGCTGTCTTCATAGATCATTACATACACTATCTATCCATCCATGCCTCTTTGTTATTCTACCTCACTACATTTCAAAGGGAAATGGTTCCTTTTTATTACTACATTTAGTTCACAGCTTTCAAGTTACTAATTATTTGCAGATAACAGTTAGATTTTTCACTGATAATCATTAGTGTCCCAAAAGTAGCAGCACACAGGGAGCAACAGTTGATGCTTTATCCAGAGAACAGCACCCACAAGAAAAACCATTAAAATCTGTACAGTCCTGATGTGTCACATGATCCACATGATCCGGTTAGAATTTTCCGTCTCCAGCACCTGCTGTTGTGTCTCAACAAAATGTACTTTAAAAGCATTTTTGGCTGCACCACAGCACGCGGGGCCAACACTATAAACACCAAAGTCGACCGTGACTGAGTAATAAAGTTACACTATTGGTTGGAGTGAGCGTTAATGTCAGTGTTGGTGCTTAGACATTGGTCGCTGCTCTTTCAAAATGAATAGGCGTTGACATTCCTTTGTTATTGTATTCCTTATTTTCGGTAGTATGGCATTATAGCATGGTGGAATTAGCAACCTAGCCAGCTAAGAGGTTCACATTACACCATTTTCACCCCGGTTTTGCGTTGCAGAGACTACCGTAATCTTTTGAGTGTTCATACCTGGTGACGTGTGTTTCTGTCACCAACTGTGTAACTACCTGCGTGCACACCACAAGATTTCCCCACCGAGCCCTTGCCGACAGAGCCCCACATAACGTGGTGACGTCACCAAACTACATTTTTTAACTTGGAGACGACACATCGTAAAGGCATGAATATTCTTCCCAGTGTGGAATCAGATCTGCCTCCAGGGCCTGGGTCCAAACACAACGCGCTCCCCGTGATCCTGTGGATGCTGCCATTGTTGTTGTTGCTTGCCGGCTTGTCAGTGTTGCCAGATCTTGGGAGAGAAACAAGCAACCAGGGCTATGGAAACAAGCCCAAAAGAAGTGAAAGATATATATATAGAGAAAGGTGATGTTTAGAGAGCAAGCCCAAATAAGCAACTCCACTTTAGAAACAAGCCCAAAAAACGCAGCTCGCGACAACCAATATTTGTAAGCGACTTTACAAAAAAAAAAAAACGAGCCCAGAGTTGCGGCTATTAAGCGGACCTGGCAACCCTGCGGCTTGTCCTCCTCACATTTCTTCCGTCCTCCTGCGTGCTGACATGGGACCTATCCTACCTCTCATTGGCTGATGCTCTTTGTCAGTCGTGTCAGACTTCTCCAGTTTTCTAGCATGATATCCAGTCCCAGTCACAGACGAGGGGGCGACTTGCTCGTAGGCTTGTTCACACACGAGGAC